ACCCGTGCCTCTCTAGGGATTTTTCTAAACGTGATTTGAATGCATTAAAAGTTAATTACATACAGAGGGGAAAAGTGCTCCTTGTTCGGCTGCTGTTAAAGTTCAGAAAGCTTTTCCTTGAAATGCCGTCCAAACGCGTGTTTCAAGAACCAAAAAAAGCGAAGGAAGAGAAAGATTACTTGGATAGTTGTGTTCCAAGGGCTACTCGGTATGCCACAAAGTGGGCTTACAAAATTTTTGGCGAGTGGCAAAGTTCAAGAAGAAATAAAGACGCCTACTTGGAGGAAATAGGATTTGGAGTTGAGGTTGAGAGTATTCAAAACTGCACAATTAATTTTGTGAACAATGGGAAATTGTAAAACGAATTTCTGTTCTAACAAGAATTTATCAGGAAAATAAACTTTGTTGTTTACGGCGGTTAATGTTTCTGTATGCTGCCTTTTGGGGAAAATTTGGTATTATAATTAACGTGATCTTCATATAAAGATCACAGTAATCATATTTTCATTAATAATTCAGTGATGATCTCGTTGTTTATGAATTGTACCCCGATTTCCCCCGAGACCGAAATCAAAACCTTTTCCGGACTTTTCAGAATGATCATTCTATACCGGCTCTAAAGGTTCATAAACGTGATCGATTTGCCTCGTCTGATAGGTTAATCAGCTCATGAGTTATTAATGAGTTTTTGAGGTCATGTGAATCAGACCCAAAGAATAAAAAAGGTAGTCAAACAAATAAATCAAACCAGAAGAAAAAAACTGAGACACTGACAACGACAAAACGAGCTTATTAGCCGATCATAAACCTTAAAAAGGAAATCGAAGAAATTCGCGTAACATCTTACCCCAAGAATATTGCAAATTCTGAATCCCAACCTTTTTCATGACTCATCCGTCCTTCTAATTTGATGTCTTACTCCTAGTTTGTCTTCGCACCTCGCTTATTCTGTTTACTTTTTCTGCCTCCTGTTTCTTTAGGTATTATGATTTTTACCGGCCCGGAGACTTCGTTCTGTATCAAAGCAAATATCGTAATTTTGAGGTAGGTGGCATTGACGAACACAAATGAACAAATAAAGAAAGGGTAAAACCTAATGTTCAAGCGTGATTGACTCGCTTGTGACTGAAACAATTTCTCTAGCTTGTTTTTCCGGATCACTTTCCACTAACATGCTTAAATGCCAAGGATTCAGATTTACATTTCTATTTGTTTCCATTCTTGCGAGGTTCACACAAGACTTTGGCATTGCGGGCGAACTGTAACTTGCAACTGTGGTGTAGCTATCCGGGAACTCCGTGACGTCATTGTGCTTAGCTCCTGCACAGAGGACTTACAGTATAATTATGGGATGCCAATGAAAGTAGAGATAACAAGTCCAGGTCGACTGATGAGAGGTACCAAGATCCTCGTGGGGCAACGTGGGGGATATACCGAATATGTGGTAAGAATGATGTTGATCGTACTAATTTGGATGACAATGAACAAGGTCGCGATAAAATATATGATGACTAAGTTATCATTATTTCGCAATACTAATTAAAATTGCATAGCATCAAGAAGTTCTACGCAAAGTCTACGTGAAATATCTTTTAATCGAACCTCGGTACGTTTGCAATTTAAACAAAGCTGTGATCACCAAAAAAGGTGTAATGAGCATCAGAAATGAAAACTTATAACTTCCGGATATTGGATAAAAAACAAGCAAAAAAAAACAAAAAAAGAAATGACGTTAAAAACGAACAGACAAGCAATTCAAGAAAACAACAACCAAAAAATCAAAGTAGAAAGAACAAAAGATCAGTAAGTAACGTCTTAATCGATTTGCTTCATAGATATTACTTCAGGATTGTCTCCTTGGCAAAAAAAAAAATGTTCGCAATTACGTTTCACACTGATTATGCGCGTGTTTAGAAACCGGATGGATCTCATCACGGTAGTGAATGAATGTAAAGTACGAAAGAAATGTTTATGAATACAGAAGAACTTTACCATAAAAACACTGTTAAGCCACTGAGTATGAAACGCGTTCGTCGGTTAACTTACTATTCGAATTAACAGAAACAAATAAATTTGCACTGCCCTTTTTCAATCAGGTCCGCCTTCCCTCTGGTACTGTGGTGAGAATAAAGCGATATTCCTGGGGAAATAATGTAGAGATGGAAGCACCTCAATTCGACGAAGGCAAAACCCTGGGCATGTGCGGAAACTTCGACGGTGATCCAAACAACGATTTTGAACAAGGTGGAGACAAGCAATCCTATGGAGACGCTGACTCCTTCGGCGAGAGCTGGAGGTGACGATTACCCCCCTTGATTAATTTACACGCACACACGCCTAGCTTCTTTGGCTGGGCCCACGTTTCCCGGCCAACGTTGCAATTCTGCTTCTCTCTACCTGGTTTCTTCGTTCAGGGCTGTTTATTCCTCCATTCAGCATTAAGATACTTGTACCCTGAAATCGGGATACAGATTACGATTGATGCCATTTTGACACCAGTCTACCCGTAAAAGAGTTGCAGATAAGTTTGAATTACATTTCGATGAGACTTTTACAGTATGAAGGTGGTTATGATGGCTGTTTGGCGAAGTTGCTGCAACTCTGTTAACATTTTCTCACCAATATCATAGTTTAGAAGTAAAAAGTGGGTTTCTTTTAGATTTCTAATACACTTTTTGATCTTTGAAAAGATAACAATTTTATGACTGTACTCTTGGATTATATTAAAACGATCTCAGCTGAAAGGCCTTAAAAAAAAAGCCTTCGGGAGACCCGTAAATTTTGCATCGGAATAGCTGTTGAAGTTGACAATCATAGTTATAATCGTATGGTGACTTGCGACGACAAGCGTTATGCATACATGCTTTTAATTTAAAATCTCCTGTGGAATCGGTCGAGGGTCTAGCTGCTCAAGCTCTTTATCAACGATATAGTGGTATGCTGTATGATTGAAATCAATTGTTACAGCTTTTTGTTTCTCTGTGGAAAAAGTATAGGAAAAGAGCATAACTTACCGCCCCGGCCATTATCTTTATAGTTATTTTTACCAATCCTCACGTATTAGTTCCACAGGTATCGCTAGTTACACGAGAAATAATGTGCACCAAGCCAATTTGGACTACATTGCAATACCTCGGGATAAACATAGGGGAGCTGTGCAAAACTGAATATGACTATCACCTTATCTCTTCCTACCACCCATCCGTCTGATGTCATATTTCATTATAAATGAAACGATTTCATTATTTCACTATTTTGTTACAGGGTGAATAAATCAACAAGTCTATTCAATGTGGTGCCCCCTTGCAATGACGCCATGTGTGATAGCACAGAGTCGCAGCTGAATATGGACCGTTGTACTTGTCAAAAAAACAGTCTCGGTGACGACATAAACGTTAACTGCAGTCTAGAAATAATGAGTTTTAATGGTTTACCAGGTTCGGAATATGAGGACAGGACAAATGCGGCTGAGGATGCAGCTCGAAAAAAAAGAGATCTTGCTTACAGCGATGACATCATATACCTGTACGACAACGAGAAATCAAGTCCCAGCGTGTTTAGAAAACGCGAAAAACGTGCCATTCACACTGACCTCTCATTGGAAAATGCAACTGAATATTGTAGAAAAAGAGTTTTGGAAACTACTGCGGCTAAAATTTGCGTCGAACTCACTGGAGTCAATGCAAGTAGTGCCATCGAGGCTTGTGCGGCAGATTTACATGTAAGTATTGCTGCTAAAGTTTTTTTGCAAGTTGAACCTCTAAAAATATACCACAGAAAATTCGTTGTAGCCAGAGTCTGATTTTGGGTTTTATCTGCCCTTGAAAGTGTCGACAAAATTCTCAGCATAGGTGTTAGCCTATTGTAGAGGCTAGACATATTTTTAAGACAGATATTTGGGGGAAGGCAAACAAAAAGCCTGGAGATGGCTAATTGACCACCTATCTTTGAAACCGTCTGGGATACGTTTTCTCTAAGATTTCACCCCAATTTATATGAAAAATTGTTGAGTCACGTCATTGGAAACTATTTCCAAAGGAAACCACAAAGAAACAGTTTATTCGACAGCTTAGTCAAACCTTCATGCGCGAAAATGATACTAGGGCATGAAACACCACACAGTACGAGTGCAGAATTTGATCCATATTGCGGTTTTCACTCCCGCTCCATCATCAAAACCATGCAACAAATTAAGTCAAGAATCAAAGAGGTGAAAAAGTATGATTTTCAAGCAGTCTCGCAAAAATTCAGGTCTTTGCCATGTTTCGTGCAAGAAATATTCGAAGAAATATTGTACTCGAATATTGTATATAGTCTGCTTACAGAACATCAAACTGCATCATAATTGAAAGCTAAGTTGGACTTTGGAAACGCGATGAGCACATCTATTGCCTGTGGTGTTTTCTGTCAACCGTGTAAAATTTTTAAAGGCGAGTAGTTTTATCTTCGTCCATTTTCACAAAAGAATTTAATTGAGAAATTTTCCTCGTAATGAAAAATGAGCTTTCAAAACCTTTAGAATAAACCAACCTGGTTGAAGAGAATTGAAGGGAGAAGCGTGAGTTACGTACATTGATGATGATTTTATAGAAATTCATTTGACGGTTGTCACACTTATTAATAATCTACGTAAACGTATGGTACTTTTTTATGCCATTGGGGACGGCAAAAAAGCGGAAGTTATCTCGTTCATCCTGTTTCTAGTTCAAAATCATGCATTATTCACCCATGAAGAAGTAAATAATGCTCGGCACACGATGGCGAGCCTATCAATATTCAGAACACTAACCTCTCTTGGATTATGACAGATAGGTGTGACAATAGTTCATATCAGATAATAAATACCTCTCAGAGCGAATTACACTTTGTTTATTTGGGATTGTCCAACCATAATACTGAAAGTTCATTTCTCGTTCTAGTTGACTGGCGATTTTGAATGGGTGGAGTCTGCCTTCGAAAGTCTGAAATCAAGTTGTGCATTCGAAGCCGTATCAAATTTTTCTGCCTATGAAAAAGACGAAGAAGGAAATTTCGTCCCACCAATGAAAATAGCCCAGAATTTATGCCCAGGAAATTGCAACTCCAATGGTAACTGCATTAATGGGACCTGCGTTTGTAACGAAGGGTTTATATCTGCCGACTGTTCACTAAGATTTGATGAGATTCCTCGACTGTTCAGGTACGAAAAATCATTACCTCAACTTTGTTCTACAGCTGACGATGCCTTTGATGTTCGCGAGTCTATCAGGTAACATTAAAGTGAAATCGGTACTTTAGCAGAAGCAAAGATGTGAATAGAGGCATAACTACGAGCAAAATAAGTCGAGAAAGCTTCAGTTATTTGAGTTATTTTACACATCGTTTTCCGCCCCCTTAAGAGCGGCCGTCCGTAAATATCGCCCGGAGGTGTGCGATATGAAAAAATCGAAAATCCCCAAAATTTACTATAATATACGTCTGGATGAACTATTTCTATAAAAAATACTTTGACTTCAATTGCATTTTTATTTTTCGCGAACGGCGGCAAAACCGGTTTTGTGGCTCTCAGGTCAGCTTCACGAGGTTGAGACAACCATTATTTGAACGTCGCTTGGAAAAAAATTAACAGTAAATGTGACCAAAATACTTTCCTAATGAAAAGAACGCGTATTTGCAAACAGTCTGGAGTGTTCTTTGTTCGATTCCGTTGCAATCTAAATTTTTGGGGAATTTTTGGTTTTTTCCAATATTTCACTCATTTTGGCGGTCAAAAAGTTGGCAAAATTGAGAGGGTAAAATCGTACATGGCATGGGGTTATATCAAGTTAATCCAGCGAAAGAACAAGGTTTCTTTTTCATGTAGCTCCAATAAAATTTTTGGGCTACCCAAACTACGAAAATTTAGGTTCCCAACCAAAAGTGACTCAGCAGTCAAAATGCGCCTTTCCTTGTCACGCAATTTAAGGTGAAAAATCAACAATACGCGCGTGGAAAAGATAACAGACCGCTTTGGAGCAAAATATCGTTACCAATCTGAATAAAAAGTTACCTTTGACCAACATTTGTCGTTTCTGCTGCTCAGGTTCACTGAGATTTAAAATTTTGGCGGTTATTTTCGAAACAAAACAAGCCAAAATGTAACATCGTCCAGTTCGAAGCGGCCAAGGACGAATACAAACCGTAAAATAAATATGTTTGCCATATTTACACTTTGATTTGTGCATTGTTTGTAAATTTGTACATACCATGCATCAGCGCCAAATATTGATTGTGTATTCGCTGCGTGAACTGTCCTCCGCTGTCTCGAAATGTCCAGTAAGGATTGCGTGAAAGGCAGACCCACAAGTCCTGGGCCACAATATTGCAAGAGCAAGCGTCTTTACCAGAAACACTGGCACGCTTCCTCTATTTTCAGTATTATTTCTTGGGGACGTTGAATTATTCTTGAATACATTTTGGCGGAATTTTCCCCTTTATTCACCCCCTCCTCTTTTTCATTCATTGATCTGTTGACATTTTACAGACTTCATCAAATAAGTAAAGGCTGATAGCAGTAGTTTCGAAAGAAACTGTTTGGGGCTGCGTCGGTGGGAGTAACGAAATAATTTGGATATATCAACAAAGTTGAAATGGTAAATTGGCCACCGTAACGATTACAAAAGCGGACGTTTCGAGCATTAGCCCTTCGTCGGAGCGAATAGAGGAATTGTGGGTTGTGGGTTGTGTGTGCTTTTAAAGGCAGAAAATGGAGCTACGTTATTTGTGGGAACATGGCAACGAGAAAAACATGAATAAATTAGTGGAATGAAAAGCGTCCGTTGATCCCTGTGGGATTTAGACTGCCGGTTTGAAAGATGAGCTTTTGTTCAAGATTTTTACGGTTTTCCGTGCTACCTAAGTGCAAGGAAAGACCGCAGATTGCCATATGTTGCTTAGAATGATTAGGTAAATTAAAATGTCTAGCGACTGGTTTCGATGTGTCCTTGTCATTCCTTTCCACGTCTCGAAGGTGTTCTCGGAATCGGTCACCTAGTCTTCTGCCTGTTTCGCCGATGTATATCTTTTTGCAATAAGTGCAAGTTATGCAATAGATTACATTGGCGGAGGTGCACGTGAAGTGATCGGTGATCTTAATGGATCGTTTAGGTCCCGATATTTTATCAGTGTTGTGAATGAAAGGACACGTTTTGCATCGTGCACGAGCGCATTTAAAAGTGCCTGGTTGGTCATTAGTCTGAAAAGAACTTCTGACCAAAAAATTGCCTATGTTTTTGTCGCGTTTGAATGAAATGAGCGGAGGCTGCGAAAAGATAGTGCTTGTCTCTGGATCGTTTTGAAGTAATTTAAAGTTTTTAAGAATGATGGATTTAACTGAGTGGTTGTGAGGGTGAAACGTGAGAGTGAATGGAATGCGGTCGGAATCTTCCTTATGCGACGTTTGTAGTGCTGAATGTCGATCAATAAGTTG